CAGGAGGGTGTAGCAAGGTGGGACTTGGTCCCTTCTCCCTAGTGGCGAGTGACAGACGAGGGGAAATGGCCTCAAGTTGCACCAGGGGAGGTTCAGGTTGGATATTGGGAAGAATTTCTTTACTGAGAGGGTTGTCAGGCCCTGGCACAGCCTGCCCAGGGAGGGGTTGAGTCGCCATCCCTGGAGGGGTTTAAAAGACGGGTGGATGTTTTGCTGAGGGACAGGGTTTAGTGGTGTTGATAGGACTAGGAAGAGGTTGTACTTGATGATCTGGAAGTCACTTCCAGCCAAAACTGCTCTATGATTCTGTGTTCTAAAGAGTTGTAGAAATGAAAATATTTGGCATGTTCAGTCAATGTTATAGACTAACAATCAGGAACAAGTCTGTAAAATCAGCTTTGTTCTTGCCCAGTTAGCAGCTTCGCTAAGCCTCACTGTGAAGCAGTCTTATGGCAAAAAAAAAATAAATTACAATCAGGCCAACCAAAGCAACTTATCAAGCAGCTAGAAATTGTTCCTTTTTACTTTTATGATAAATGCCTTGAGGAATGTTATAAGGTCAACTGTCATTTAAGGGCTGTGGGATATCCTCAGCATGCTACAAATGCAAGTGTTACTGTGCAGTGTAATGTAGGAAGCTGAAGCCTTTGAAGTTTTGGCATTTAGTGGGGAGAAAAGGGAGTAAACTAACTTCCTGTCACTTATAATCTGTAGAATATATTGAAACTGTCTTAGGGTAGACAGGAAAGGGAAGGAAATAACTGCAGATCTTTGTAACTTGTCAGGAAACTTGGATCATTTGAGGTTAGAAGGTGTTTTTGCTAGAAAACAGTGATTATTCAGCCTGACTTTATGTCTTTCAGTCTGGCTTTTCCAGAGTGTATTCAACACCTGAACATCTCTGTTTCTGATTTCCTAGTATCATGCTTTGGGGGTGCTTTATCACCTTAGAAGAAACGATCGTCTCGCGGTTTCCAAGATGCTGAATAAGTTCACTAAGTCAGGACTGAAATCCCAGTTTGCGTACTGCATGCTGATCCGAATTGCGAGCAAGCTCTTGAAGGAATCTGAAGAGGGGTGAGTAAGAGGCAGCATGTGAATTCCAATTACTACTAATAATAGGAGGTAAAGAGTAGCTGGGAAATTTGCATTTTTTTAAGAAGTTTGTGGAAATCTACGCACAGAACCATACTTTTAAAAATAAAATGTGAGTAGAAGCAGGAGGGTAGAGTGAACTGAGTGGTGGGTGCAACAGTTGTGTGGTGGCGTTTGGATTTTTATTTCGGCCCCGTGCAACCAAAGCTTAGCCAAGAGTGAAATTAAAACTGCAGAATCATCTGGACAGGTTTTGCACTTTGGTTAGACGCATTTCAAAGGCAGTAAGGATCTATCTGTGTTGGGGACAAATAAAATGATCTCCCTTCTTCTGATCTCACAATAGCAAAGGAGGCAGAATTACCTGAGAAACTTGCCTCTTGATGAAATTCTTCTATCAGCAGCAATTTTTGCCAGCTCTGTGCAATACATGTGGTCGTGAAATATTTTCTTCTAGGATGCAGCTTTTCTAACTTGAAGAATATAACGTGGAGATGAATAACATAGCACTAAATGGAAAGTTTAGAGCTTAGGTACATGTTCAGCGATGTGGTGGAGTAGGAAACGTGGAAGTTGGCGTGTTAGCTGTGCTTTCTGTCAAGCTTTCAGAAATGCTGTGTTGGTGTTTTCTACGTAACTCTGCGTCATGCTGTGAAATACCTTCTGTCTGTAGCCATGAAAGCCCCCTGTTTGACTTCATTGAGAGCTGTCTGCGGAATAAGCATGAGATGGTGATTTACGAAGCTGCTTCTGCCATCATCCACCTCCCAAACTGCACAGCCAGGGAGCTGGCACCCGCTGTTTCAGGTTGGTCGTAGAGTCTTTTGCACCATCGATGCAGCTGAAAGAAAAGGTGGTAAAGCATAACTCAAGTCCTAACCTCCAAACCTGAATTTTATGATTGTCCCCAGATTAAGGGACTTTTGGCTCTTTTTTTTGGATCCCAAGCGCTTTAACCCCTTCTCTCCACTTCATCCAGAGCTTTTGAGAATGGGCGGTAGAGGTGGCACAGAGTGACACTTGCGTTTTTCCAGCTGCGGAAATTGGGATGGGAGGAAAGGTAGAGAAGAACTTGATAGCACGGATGTGCCACGGGCGACTGTGCAAACCACCCATTATTGACGTTATTGAGGTTATTTTTAACTTGCTTGTGAAGGTCGTGATGAATTATGGATAGAGCTGCATGAATGTTTAGCAGCACGTAGTTGAATGTGGATACGTTAGACTTCCTATTTCTTTTTTTTTTTTTTTTATTTGGAAAGAGACCATATCTGGTTTTCTGCTGTGATGAGTTCCGACTGAGCTATTTGTGCCTGTCGATATTAAAGCGCTGGCACGAGGCAGTTTCCCTTTGCTCATCTGGGACAGTCATCAGGGCTCTCGCCTTCTGCTCCCCAGACCTGACAGGTGCTTGGAGTTGCAGTACCGGGAGCCAGCTTTTGTTAAACAGTCTATACTCTGTATCGTTTCGCTGTGAGTTACTTGACTTTTTCTTTTATTATTGTTTTCAGTGCTTCAGCTTTTCTGTAGTTCTCCCAAACCTGTCTTGAGATATGCAGCTGTGCGGACCCTTAATAAAGTGAGTGCTTTCAATTTCTAAACAAGCATAAATCCCTGAGCAGCAGAGAAAGCCAGACTTCAGTGCCTGATGGTGTGTTACCTAGAGTAGAGCGACTACTCTTGTGATTACTGTGTTTGGAAATACTCCATGCTGGAGAATTGGCTTTTCCATGCCAAATCTTCTTGTGTAACAAAAATCTTGGCCCATTTCTGGACCACAGGACTGGAACAAGCTGTAGTTGGATAACTGGGGAGCTTTCAGCTGTAAGGAAGCAGAGTCCCGGATATTTAATGCTGCCAAAAGTGTGAATAGGGTGTACATGAAGGAAAAAACATTCCGGTTTTATTGCTGCATGCAATGCAACAGAAGCAGTCTGTGACTGTCAGACCCACGAGCTCTAACCTGGAGTTGGAGGAGTTCACTGGAAATGCTGAAACAACGAACTTCAGCTTTGACTGCATCCTGCCAGCAGTCCTGTGATGGTGGTTTAGTTGCAATCCCTGTGGAACAGAGCAGTGCTTGTCAAAAATACAGATTTAATCTTTGCCCCACCAGAAGCTTCAAATTGTAGGATGTTATTGCTTCCATATAATTTGGAATTGTGTCCTTTACAGGTGGCCATGAAGCATCCGTCTGCAGTCACTGCCTGCAACCTGGACCTGGAGAACCTCATCACCGACTCCAACCGCAGCATCGCTACCCTCGCCATCACCACCCTGCTGAAGACAGGCAGTGAGAGCAGTGTAGACAGACTCATGAAACAGATCTCTTCCTTCGTGTCAGAAATATCAGATGAGTTTAAGGTGTGGCATTGGAGGCCTCTGCTCTTTCCAGCTGCAGGTTTTTCTCCCATTCTTGTTTTTATGAAGCTTTTCCCCTTTGTTAAGCCTTCGGTGATTTAGTCCGATAGAGCACAGCCAGCTTGAAATTCAGAAGATGTAGTCCTCTGCTTTCCAGCTTAAATACACCGTGTTGTTTCCTCCCACCCCTCCAAGAAAGGATAAACGTAAAACTACAGTATCCTGCGAAGCTTTAGGCTGCCTTTTTGTTGTCTCTCTGGAGAGAAAGAGGGATTTTAACGGCTCTGATTGAGTCTGTATGACTTCAGTCTCATGCATAGTTAGGTAAATAGCTCAGGTAAATAACTTGCTTAAGGATGTAGTTCACTTGTATTTGTCACTTTTACACCATGGAGTTGCCTTTAGGATCATAACATGTCAATGTCCAGTCGTGTACAGTGGTCTTAAGTTCTTTTTTTTTAATGAAAAAAGTAAATAAGCGTTAGGCAGGTTTAAATTAAAGAGTTTTAATAACCACATTTAACTAGTTCAGTTAGAATTAATCAGGGTCATTACTGGAAAGAAGGAGGGAGGGGAGGCCTTTGAATTAATGTAGTCCATCCTAAATATAGTCCCTCTAGCAGAGCCGGCTCTCACAGCGTGCTAGCACGGGGTCGTTAAAAGCCTGAGAGTCCACCACCTGATTTTATCCTTCTTGTGCATGAGTTTAATCTATCAAGGTAACAACTTGACGTAGTGAGAAGCCTCTATTTTTCACAGAAAAACAAATGCATGTGACTAACGTCCTTCTCCGTTGTTTTGCAGGTCGTGGTAGTCCAAGCTATCAGTGCTTTGTGCCAGAAATACCCTCGGAAACACAGCGTCATGATGACCTTCCTCTCCAACATGCTCAGGGATGATGTATGTCGGAAATTTTGTGTGTGTGGTCGCTGGCAGGCAGCTGTGAGGGGTCGTACGAGGGGTCTCTGCTCTGTACCCACTGACATAAATGGTGGGACCCAACTTATTACTAAGACCTTGTTTATCTTGTGGGTCAGACCTGTCTGAAATGTGCTTATGAATTAGAGCTGGTATATCAAAATCTGATCTGAATTGATCACAGAATGGGTTGAGTTGGAAGAGACCTTCAAGACCATCTCGTTCCAACTCCCCTGCCCTGGGCAGGGACACCTCCCACTAGACCAGGTTGCTCAAAGCCCCGTCCAACCTGGCCTTGGACACTTCCAGGGATGAAGCCTCCACAACTTCTCTGGGCAACCTGTGCCAGGGTCTCACCACCCTCGCAGTGAAGAATTTCTTCCTAATATCTAATCGAAGTCTGGCCTCTCTCAGTTTGAAGCTGTTACCCCTTGTTCTATCACTGCCCTCCCTGATGATGCCCCACATGGTGTGTCATTGTGGGTCAGGATGGACTGGGAAAAATCGGTTAGATCATCCAGTACACCTTCTCTTTTCTCTTTATGTACAAATGCTTGTTTTTCCTCAATGGAAAAAAGTAATTAAAGCGTGAGAGAAACTGAGCAGCACTTTGGTCTGAGCTCTGCCTGCTGGGTCAGTGCCCTTGATTTTTCCTTCCCCAGGGTGGCTTTGAGTACAAGCGAGCCATTGTGGACTGTATAATCAGCATCATTGAGGAGAATCCTGAGAGTAAGGAGTCGGGCTTGGCTCACCTCTGCGAGTTCATCGAAGACTGCGAACACACTGTCCTGGCCACAAAGATCCTGCACCTGCTGGGGAAGGAGGGGCCAAGGACTCCATCCCCATCCAAGTACATCCGCTTCATCTTCAACAGGGTGGTGCTGGAGAACGAGGCTGTGAGAGCTGGTAAGTTCAGCTCCAATGCTTGATGGTTTCATGTCTGAGCTCTGCTAGAAATCTTGGCGCTCAATCTGGGTTTGGGGATGGAAGGCAGTGCTTACTCCGCCGAGTAGCGAAGAACTGGCTCTTCTGTGCATCAGCTATGAAGGTGATTTTTATTCTGCAGCGTGTTTAAACTCCTCGTATCAGCATCAAAGCTTGGTCCTCCTGGTTCATAGGACATAAGCAGTGTGTTAGATTCTAGTTTCTCCTTTGTACATCTCCCAAAAGCTGAGAGGTAATACATGGGGAGGGGGTGCTGCTACTTCCCTAGTTAATGTAATTGTCTGCTGTAGACTGTCGTGTCTTTCTATGGAAATCTCCACCCCACAAGATAAAAATTCCTCCTTGGAAGCGTATTACAGACCGAGACTTCCTTCCTGCAGAGCCTTTACCACAAACCCTTTAGAGTGTTCAGCCTGTTTTCCTACTTGGGACTTGGTATTGGAAGTCGGCTCGATCTCCTGCGTGTTAGAAGAGGAAGTGCTGCTGGGAGAGAGGAAGCAAAACAGGCTCATAAATACAGTATTGTCCACCCAACTTGATTCTTATCTTTGACAACAACTCTTTTGGTCACGGCTTCCTAATTTTGCCCTGGGAGCACTTGAAAAGCATCCGCTGTCTAGAAACTTTGTTATTGTAAAAACCTGGATTATTTTTTAACCACCAAGGCCATAGAGCTTGTGCTTCCTTAGAGAGCTTTCTCTTCTTTCTGAGCATGGAATTGCTTCAAGCCAGTCCTGAGCTGAAATTAAATTCATTTCAACAGGCGGCTCTCAGTGGTTGCTGAGGAGTTTCAGCTCCTTATGGAGTGAAAAAGTGATTTATCTGCGGGTGTGAGCTACAGCTCATGCCAGAGGGGCCAACAACTGCAGTGAGCCATGGAGCTTGAATTAGCCTTTTCTAATAGAGTTAACTTGGAATGGAGTTGCAGGGCTCTTAAGCTGATCTTGCTCTGTTACTCTGACACAAAACTGTTTCCATTTGAAAATAAGGAAACAGATTAGTCTTTCCATAACACTACGAGCTTTTATGGCGTGGAAGTGAAAACCCGTGTCAGTTGAAACTTTGGGACTGCAGTGCTTTGAATCATGACTGTGAGAATGTGTTTGCATACGGCTTGGGCACCTCTGACATCTCCCTCTTTTCTTCTCTAGCTGCTGTGAGTGCGCTCGCAAAGTTTGGTGCCCAGAATGAGAATCTTCTTCCGAGCATCTTGGTGCTTTTGCAGAGGTGAGTGGATATGGCTGTGCCCCTGCTGAGCTTGTTGAAACTAGGCCACCCAGTGTCATCATGGAAGAAACAAGGGTCAGGCCAGGTCAGAAGTTGCGCTGGGCTTGTCACAACATACTAGTTGAGGAGTTGAGAGATGGCTGGAGAGAGCATAGCACTGCTGGAGATAAGCAAATGAAAGCTGTGATGAGTCGTGAAAACATCTGAGAGTGATCTGGTCTGAGAATGTTCCTCACTGGGTAATACATCTCTGGTGGTTTAGCCCGTTTTTTGCATTCCCTGAGGCAAGAAAATGTACTTCCCTGTTACTCGTAAATAACTTTTGTGTACAGCTAAGTAATGATCTCAGGTGTTGCCTCTTGTTGAGCCCGTTCAGCTTCCTTTAAATTGTCTGTACCACAGATGTCATGTTCATCGTTTGTAAAGCGCTGGAGTATAAACCTGTGCCGTGTCTGACTTCTGTGGTGAGAGGAATAATTTGAGTTAGGAAGTGCTCCAGGTAGAAGGCAACCTCGGCGTAGGTGTGAGTGAATTACAACTGCAAGAAGTGACTTGAGCCGTGCGGGGAGGGAGGGAAGTTGCCAGCAGAGAGAGAGAAAAAATCTCTCTATAAACTGTGTGCTGGGATTGAAAAAAGTAAGTGAATGCTTGAGCACACAGCCCTTTTTTCAGTCTGAAATAAACATGGTAAAGCTGCTTTCTATTATTGTAACTTATCTATTTCTTCCAATTTCGTGCCATTGTGAAAGAATGCCGTAAAAAAAAAAGTGCCCATCAGAATCATTAACCCTAAAATGCAGCTGTATATTTTATAATCTGGCAAGTGTGCGTAGCGTCAACAGTTCACAGACACGTCTCCTTTCATCTTAGTTTTCCAATGTGCCACTTGCATATCAGCTTCACCCACTGTGCTGTAGGAATGCTTTATTTGCCCAATTTGATTACGATCTGTTGAAGGAGCTCAGGCTGTCATTGCAGCAATCTTGCCGGTGCCATTTTCAGCTCAGCTTTTGTGATGTCCTGAGCTGGCTGACTGCTGTCCTCTTTGTTATAAA